GCCGTAGGCGCGCCTCTCGCAGGTGATTAGAAACTATCGATTTCTTTTGCCATTAGAGGAATGTTACGTAATAGTTATCTCCCTGTACACGAGTTACGAGCGCTTCATACCGTTCGGTTTAATTTTCTTTCGAAGTTTAAGCGATTTTCGCGCGAAAAGTGATTCATACCGAGGGATCGGGACCTTTAGATCCGATGTTAAGAGGATTCACGGAAGTAGGAATGTCAGTGGATTGGCGTTGGAGTGGCGGATAAGGTAACTGATTAAGAACCGGCTGCCGACAGAGTTTATTTGCACCAATCTCTACGACACCTTGCAAATCCTCTCGAGTTGCTTTCGATCGAATTCGTAGTTGTCGTCTTTGCACCAGAACGATCAATCAGACTGTGCCAAATCATTTTCGTAGAATCCTTCACAATTATCTATCGCGAATTGTACATACAAGTAGCAGCAGTTTATCTCGGTTATCTGAGAAGAGTAGCGCTATAAAGATATTTGCGATAGAATGTTTAAAAAGAGAAGTAGCATGTTCAAAGCTTATTCCGATAGAATGGTTCACGAATGTACTATCCGTTGTTCAGGTGCCTTCATGGACGCGACCGGAAGCTACGACTTCTCGTTCTACCTATCCGGTAGTCTGATCTTCTTATCGGCTGTGATCTGCTACCCTCTGAAGAGGATCAACGAGTGGGAGTCGAGGAAGAGCAACGAGAAGAACAGCGACGACCCATCGAAGTCTTGATCCAGCACGAAGACACGATTACATAGACGCCGTAGACCGAAGTCTGTCGCGTTCGCTGCTTAGCGCACAGTGTTTTGTACATATACCGAAGTGTAAATAATTCATGATGAGTATTCGAATCGTTAATTAATTCGTGACGACAGGAGGAAGCTCGTCAGGTTCAACGATTAAAATTATCGTTGTTGGGAATCGGAGAGTCTGCCGAGTTTCGTTAAGCGCGATGAGTGAGCAGCTTCGAAACCGATGGAGATTTCATAGATACGGAAGAAGAGGCGTATATCGTTTACGTAAAAGGACATTTTATCAAGATCCGAGTCGACACGGAACACGTTCATCGAATATTATCCGCGATCCAATCCGTTTAATACCATTATCGTTCTGAAATGTAATATTACACGATCGGAAACGTTAAGGCGTTCGATGTACGTACACCGATGTAACAACGGATAATATTCGTTGTTAATGCCTTGCATTCGTGCCTTTTACTCATAGTCTTCCTCGAATATCGCGTGAGGATGTTGAATCGTTCGATCTAGATCAAAATTTACGCGCGATCAAGAGAAACGAAGATGCTAGATCGAACGAGAGGCGTTCAATAGAAGATTACTTATATTGCAGTCTATTTTTGCTACGACCTTGTTACCGTCAAAAGCAAACTGCCATACTATAGATTCGGTGTACACCGACGAGCATCGTACGCTTTCTTAGGGAAAATGGCGCTGCTAGAGAAAACGTCACTACTTGATTCTCGGATATTCGAATTAAAAGTTTTGCTTTGCGGATATTAAAACATTATGGAAATTTAAGAAAAGTGGTGGTGTAGTTTTTCTCTAGAGCGGTTGTTATCTCGGAGAAGGCTCGATTGCAGCGAGCTGTACTCTGCGTGTTATCGCGCAGTTTGTATCGCGAAATGTACACGTTGCATCGTCTCGACGGGAAACGATGAGAGATATGTTGGAAGTTCTGGCGAGAACTGGCAAAGTGAATTCGTTAAATCGCGATCGATCGATCTCTCGACTCGCTTCCGAGATATCTGGTAGAGCATGTTTCTATAATAAACAAGCACGCGCATATGGTAAAGGCGTATGTACTTGCATAAACGGGTACACGTAATCTCGACATAGAGAACGTGCATTCGTTCTGGTGCAGTGCAATCTGTAGCGTTAATTAACGCGTTGACTGTCATGGGAATCGTAAGTGATCTCTGTTACCAATTTTATTTCGATCGCACGGCGAAATGACATATCGTTAAAGTTGCACTGGCGAATCGTGCGTAATGAAAATATTAGTAACCTTGATAGTGCATTTTATTCAACGAAATTAGGTGATTTGAAGATTTAGAAATTTGGCGATTTACACGAATTGGAATTTCTAAATCTGGAATTGTAAATATCGTAAATATCCCTGTTATGGCAATCAACGTGTTCACCAACGTCCGTCGATATAGCGGACGTTGGGTTCTCTAGGCTTAAGGACTTGCTCAAAAATCAAATCCGTTCCTACTGTTCCTAATTATCTACTGCGTAGTATTCGTTTATTTTTATTCGAGCCGAACCATGATCGAACGATCCGCGAGATCGTTCGTTCGTGTCCTTAATTTTTCGTCTATAAATATACAACGTTACACGCGACGTTTCGGAGATCGCGAACACTTACACTCACTTTGTTAAGGAATAAATTATTGACCGTAACCACTAGTCTATTTTGTTTTTCCTTCGCGTCGCATGGAAAACACTTTCAACAACGTAATCACAACGTGACTACAGCGTGACTAAGGTGTGCGAAACTTGAATTTTCCACGGTTAATCGTGGCTGCCTTTGAGTTCCCTCTGTCCTGCCACACCTATGTCCACGTTCAAACAACGCGGCACAACGTGACATTCGCCGATGTTATACATTATTTATCAACGAGCTAGCAGTACACTCGCTTACCGCTAATTAGCTACGCCTTCTTATCTGTTATTACCGGTAATCATCTAAATTTACAACTTTTAACGTCGAGTTTATTACGGTCGTTTGCGAGCCATTTTACGTTTCTGCGATTACATCTTAAATGTCTCGACTTTTATCGGGACTCCTGTATCTACGCCGGTGCGGTGATTCAAATCACTTTTTACGTTCTTTTAATCGTTCTCCGGAGCATGACATCTCGTACGCGTTAATTGGTCGTTTTAGAACGATCGACAGGAGGCGCGACTTTTTTCACAGTTATACCGCGTTGATCTACCAGTCGCGGTACTCTGTTCGTTTGTTACGAGCTCGGTTATCGAGTTTAGACCGATCGAATCGAACAACCGAGTCGAATAGCAAATTCGAATATGTTCGCTCGAAATCTGTCGAATCGAAAATGCAACGGCCTATATACGAAGTACAGCGGAAGCGTTAACGAACACGGGTAATCAGATTCATGAAGCAGCTCCTTCGACGGAGAACGATGGAAGAATTTGCATAAGATTGTTTGTGTCGCAGTTGCGACCATCGAAAAACGAGTCCTCGAGGAGTTGAAAGAAGTAGAAGAAGAAAAAGGTCGGCCGTGAGAGGAGCGTGTTTAACGAATGCCAATAATTTATGCCCGGACATGGTCGCGAGAAGAGAAAGACCTGCGCGAGAAAAGCGACGTCGGTTCGAGCGAACTGAACCTATGAACAAAGTCATAAATACTGAAAACTGGCAATTCCTTTCTTCATAGTAGTTCAACTACACTCCCGTTACTTCCAATTACTCTTTTTCAACTTCTTATTGCTCCGCTCGAGAAGATAATTGAAAAAAATACACCAAACGCTCGAGGAGGTTGAAGTAATCTCGTTCTCGAGTTTTCAGGTTATTTACAGTCAGCTTTACGGTCATATTTAAGTTTTCTCGTAGCCGAGTAATTGTCAGCGACGTAATGGAGGTTAAGCCGGGATCTCCCAACGTAATCAACGAATGTTATCGTGCATAATATTACAATTTTTTAATTTGTAATATTTAAACACCTAAATCTTCGGGATTCAAAAGTCACGTTATCGCGTTATGGGTTCCAGCCAACAGCTTGCAGTATTTTATCCGACACGATTGATTGTACGAGCCTTCGACTTAAACTCTCGGCCAAAAGTCACAGTTTTTTTTTCGGTTCGTGTGGCATGAATATTTTCGGTGGACGATTAAGAATTCGTTTCCCTTCTGGCTGACCCTCTTCCTCGAGCACTCTTTCTCTTTCGGTAGGATGGAAATTGATTTTTACCGCGAGCGCGATGCTATACGAGTTTAAGTTCGTCTCGTGCTAACTTTCGGAAGAAACGTGTTCTTTGTTTCGAATATGTCTTTATTTTTCTTCGTCGGAGAAGTTAGTGAATTCGGTACAAATCTTTGCTGCTCAGATGCACTTTCTTGCCTCGAAATAAGTTCGATCAATTACAGTCTCCGTGACATTTTCGAAAGCAGATAAACGAGGAGTTATCAGGATAAATTCGCTTAGCTTTGCAATTTGTAGATTTTTCAATTTCTTAAATTCTCATTCCCAAATTTCTATTAAATGTTCATATTCTCGGATTATCTAGTTTTAAGAGGGTCGAAAATCTGTAGAAACGAAGGAATAGGTGGCTCCTTTCTTCTCGGTTACTATATTTGTCCTAGGGAAGCCAGATTCGCTGTTGACCGAACTTTTACGTTCCGTTGAAACGTTTCTCTCTCAGACTGATCCTCTGGCGCTCTCGAGTCTGGCACAGAAGTGGAGGCCAAAGATAGAGAAGAGGAGCAGACAGACCGAGAGAAGAAGAAGAAAAGAGGTAAAGAAAGTAATAGGAAAAAAATGTAAGAAGAAAGTATGGAAAGAAGGGCCGGCATTCGCGAGGGTGTCTCGAAGGCAACGGGGTCTCTGCTTCCAACTGCAGATACATTGCGACATAGAGCCGGGGGTTAGTGTAGGGGGTTTCGTGGGCGGCGGGGTGGGGTGAAGGGACCGGCGAAACGGGGGTGGTGGAGGCTCGAAAGGGGGATGAAATGCGCCGCGACGCGTTGCGGCGAAGCCAGACAAGGACGGAGCGTACTCTTTCTGCTCCCGTATCCGCAGCATCCTCCATCTTTCTTCCAACGTTTTTGTTCACCCTTTTCACCCCATCGCACACGCTTCGCGTCCGACTAGTTTCTTCTCTGTTCTCCGATGTTTTTCTCCGGTCACCCTTGTCACCCTTCTCCCTTTACAACGATTCTCCTCCGGATACCTTGATCCTTCTCTTCCGTTTCTGCCTCTTTCTCTGTTTCACCCTGTCGCGGTCCAGTCGAGTGTCGGCCCGTGTACCGAACAGTTCACCTCGTGGCTGCCTCGTTCGACAACACGAGTGCGCGTGTATCCTGGATGCCGAGACGGGATCTTCCACCGGGATCACCGACCAGTTACCCGGGATCGAACGAGAACCGAGAACACCAGCATTCTCCTCCGAGTGTCCACGCACGATCGACGCGGTCAGGATAACGCGACGGGAGAATCCACGTGGTCTTGGAGAGCAGACGCGTGAAAGGTAGAAGGGATATCCTAGACTCGGGAAGGGTGCACTCTTATCCGGCATTTCGCGTACCAGATATTATTAGCTGCAGGGTGCACAGTGTTTTTACTCTCGAATATGATATTCGTTATCGTTATTTGCCTGTTAATTGGAACATGCTGGCTGAATTATTGTCGCGGAGGGAGCACGACATTCGTGCTAAGTGTTTTTCAAGTGGTTGTCAAAAATTTCGCTGAAAATTAAAGCGTGCTGGCGATTAATTATGGTACATTATCGTTATCTAGATGTTAGTTGGAACATATTTAAGGAATTATTATCGCGCTAAGTGTTTTTCGAGGGGTTGTAAAATGGTGATAGATGATGTTGATAAAGTATGATTAACGTCGCGTATAACATATTACTATCGCGTGGAGCGTATAAATATTATACAATTTTCTCGGAAGATATTGGGATGAAATTCGATATATGATTCTAATGCATTATAATACATTATTATCGGTCGGATGTTAATTCGGTTAAGGATATTTTTCAGGCGAAACTTTTTTTCGTGTCGAGATTTAGCTTGTGTTTCGTGCATACTCGAGAGTGCATATCTTTTCACGTAGAAAATGATGATCGTCTCATTCGTGCGAGTAGTTCCCTAATTACCTCCAGCTGGAAAATAAGCAAGTCTAGTTTGCGCTATTCTCGAGTAGTCAAGAAGAGAAGCTTATTAAGCCCTGCTCCCTTCAAGCTTCACAATTCTGAGAACCTTCGAATAAGAACAAGTCCAGGCTCGATCGTTAAAAGAAAAAATAAGCTCCACATTTAAAAGCGAAGAAATTCTGAAATGTCGCTTCCTCTTACGGCACAATGCAATTTAAAAGAAATTCCTGAAATAACCAAAAACACCTCCAGTTTACTCGAAAAGCAATAAACACCTGGATACTTCGTATTCGGTCCAGACACGATCGCGCTCGGACTATTTATATTCTGATTGAAAATCGACCATCCAGATCCACGTGCTCAGGATTACAAAGGGTTGGCAGCTTATGCAACCTCTATAAACCTCGAATCCGTCCGTTCTATCCCGAATCTACCTTTCTACCAGCTTCAAACGAGTTTTTTTTTCGTCCGCGGAATCTCTGTTCGCGAATCTAGAAACCGGTAAGCAGCTTAGCCAGCGAGACTCAAAGTGGTCTTAGAATGTAACGCGACTTTCGTAATGCTTTCACGGACGCGCGAACTCCATTTCCGGCGAACGGAGGGTGAAAATATAACGTGACACGAACCGACGATGTTCAAAGGATCGGAATTTATCAGGTTTCACGGTTGGTAAAAGCGAAAAACGTCTCCTCGTTGTTCGTTTGGCCGCGTTTCCCTTTGCTCGCTTATTTTCGTTAGCGCGACGAACATCGATGCTTAAACCTAGCCACGTTCCAAATTTCGGACACGATGGAATTTCACGTACTAGCTGTAACTTCCATATCCGCGCATTTACCATATTTCCAATTAAAGAGGACTTTATCTTAAAGTCGTTGAGATGCTTGTAATTATCATACCCATTATCGAAGATAAGTAAATGCGATAGATAGAGTGCGGATAAATATAAGGCTATAAAACGGTGTGTACACAAGTTCGAATATTAACGAGTTAATCGATCGTCAGAGACGCGAATGAAACCGAATCGCGGCAGGTCAATCCTCCCCCTCGATAAATAAGCTTTTCGTTGGCTGTTCGACAATAACCCACCTTTCTGGCTCCAGCTTCTCTTTTTACACCGGCGAGCATTAATCAAATTAAAATTCCCGCTCCCGATCGAAAAATGCTCTTTAAGCCGGCCAAAGCTCCGCGGTACACCTCTCTGGTTTTCCATTGGCTTAATTTACTCTCGCAAAGAAGATTAACACAGCCAGGTTATAGAACGCAAATATACAGGACGTTTCGCAAATAAATAACAACACGATTTTCTCTACATAGAAGAACGCGTTCGAATATCCGAGAGATCGACTGATTAATTTTTTCAATTTCACTTCCTGTCTTGCAAGGAGGATATATCAGATAAAACGTGTCGAGAATCGCCCGTTCGAAAGGTATGGCAGTTTGTTAACTCGGCTATCGGCTCTCCCGTTTGTTGTAGGAAATTCCGTAGCATTTCGCTACTTCGTTACAACGAAAGCGAACAGGCGGAGTCGTAAATTACATGTTCAGTCATATCGCAGCCGCGTAACTCG